TACACATTATGCTTGAGCTTTTACCCTTTGATTAGAAGACTGTATTTTACCTATTTTATTCTAGTATAATTTTAAAATAAAAATAAATTCGTACTCAACTAGATTTATAAAGATTTTTGTTAAGCACCTATAGTAATAGAATTCCGCTAGATATGCCTTAAAATAGATATTAAGCTCTCTGTATATTACAGCAGTATTACAGTTGCGACTAATAATCACAGAATTCTAATTGAAAATTACTGATCACCTTTTATTCTTATTTTACCGTCCTTCATAGCCATTTAAATAAATGCAATATTTCATCCATCCCCGAGAAAGCGTTTGCATTTTATTCTCTTAGAATTTTGTAAGTTAATTATTTTAATACTATAGCTTTTAAGTTAGAGATGTGACTGTAAACCTCGAATACATTACAAACTTTTATATTCATTTAATTTAAGCTTTTAATTAATAATAGATCATTGGACGGTAACAACATATCTGAATTTGATATGGTCGACATCTCTAGCAGGGATGAAAACATATTAACGGATTTGTAAGATAAGTTAATTTAAAGTCTTTATTAATTAATATAAAATATTACAAATGTTTTAATACATATAGTGGATCCTTACCATGACGGAAATATTTAGGTTTAATATTTTATAGCAACTTTACGGGGTTACAATAATTACTGATATCGCGGTTTTATGTTAAATCATCTATATATGGGTGCAATACGATATCATAATTGTGAAAAGATGCAAACGAGAAATTAGCTCAAATCCAATAATATTGGTTTAATACCAATGATATAACGCATCATAGAATAAATACAACATTCACTAAGGACGGAAGATATCCGCCTGTACCCTTTACCGTATATAATTTCTGTGTTGCAAAGCACGAAAATTACAGATTAAAATTCTGATTGTAATGCTAATATACCTATAGTTTCTTATCCATTTTCAACATTGTGATATTTATTGTAGAAATCTCTCAAATAATAAATTAAAGAGGATCTATTCTTCATTAATCATTCGATATGGAAATTTAAAGAAGCTGTAAGTACACGTGCAGTAAAATCGTATGAAAATGTAGGATACTTAGGATGTGATTTTATTTCTTAAAATCTGGAATACTGAATAGACTCATTTCTTTGAAAAATATAACTGTAATATGTTGGTAAGGGTTTACTAACGACGATAAACCCTAACGATAAATCCATCATTATTTATACTTGTTTACGTAAGTAACATCTCCGGTAATATAATTGAAGAATTATGTTATCAATCCCTTGCGAAACTTTTTCTCAATATAAGAGAAATGTGAGTCTTTTTGTAACGAACTTAATATTACTAGTTTACAACTGATTTTTTAAACGAACATTACCAATACTAACTTATGCAATCATGTATTAACAACAAAGCGATGCAAGTAGAAATAAGATCAGCAAGCTCCAAGAAAGATGCTTTAGAGGGTTATCAAGCTTGCAAAAATTGTAAGTACGGGAAAAGAAAATGTAAAATCTAATTTTGTTTCTTATGTTGCTCAAATGAAACCATAAAATAATTATCATGATTACAAAAAGAAGCTTCAACATTTATTGCATTTGTGAATGGACTGTCGAATTTACGTTATAATATTAAGACGTAAATAATTTCAGATTTTTTAATTAGGTAATTATTGTATAATGTACTGTAGTAACTACTCTACATGATTCTTGAATACATATTCATATATTAGTCAGTTTTAGCGTACATCTACTGTACATTTAATACCTTCGCATGATTTTCCTTTACTTCGATATTCACTAAATTTAGTACTCTACAAACTTCCAAGCACTAGAAATTACTACTTACACAAATCATGTAGCAAACAATCTGTGCTGGTAATAAAATTATATCATGTAAATCCCACCCACCCTCCCTTTAAATGAGCAGCGCGGGGGTATTTATACTGTACTGCTGTTAGATGACTGTGATTATGGGTTGATTTCAATAGGTCAGTATAAGATTCTTACAGTACTTTTTACCTCAACATTTCTTCATGTAAAACGAATAGCTCTACGGTAGTAATTTCTACAGAGTACTGATTTTTGAAATAGTATTCGTTATATCGCTAAGGCTGGCCACTGGGCCTTTATATTTTGATTTGACGTAATACTCTGATGAAAATTGAATAAACATAGAATCTTTATAGAGTTTTCTACACAGCCATTTTGATTGTTACATTTTCTTATAACGGTTGTTATCGACAGAGCAAGTTTTGCTTCCATATACAAGCGATCCTTAGACACATTATAATGATTGGTATAGAATTGATCACAGTGCTAAGGACATTGTACCGCACTGTCGATATCTTACAGTATCTGCTAATCTTAACTTGGTATGTCCATTACCGTACATTAGTTATCATAATGCGTTTTAGATTATTAACTAATATTAATATAGCATAGTACATTACTATTACCGGGATATATATAATATCGAATGATAATACTATCTGTTAATTTTATTAACAAATTCAGCATAAACGTATATTTGACAGTTTCGCTAACCAACCTTAACATATCAATACTGTATATAGTAACCATCCTTATTCGGTAAACATACTAATACGAAAGTTACTTAAGGAAATTTGAATTGGTATAGAAATGAATGATCTCTAGGGTTTATGTAAATATTATTGAGAAGGTATAAGTGATTGATACACATTAGTAGGTACTATTAGTTCCATTGCTCTCATGCATTTCGTAGTGTTATCCTACTGTAGTTCCCCTGTCCCGGTTATTTTTGATTGCTATATATCATATAACAAAAAGGGTTTCTAAGAGGATAATGTCAGTTAGTCAGCGATCTGATAGGCGAAAGCGAAGTGAACAACGTGGAAATGCACGATCAGTACGTACATTAAATCAATCTGTTTTAAATATAGTAGTACCCGACTATTACCGGGATATATTTAAAGTTGAATGGTAATACTATCTGTTAATTATTAACAAATGAATACATTATCGTAAACCGTCAGCAAAGCGATAAGAGTTTGGACTAGTATATACAAAAATGCATACAAGTTCAATCATACTTCTTAAATTATGTGTGAAAATTATGAATAGTGCTACGTACACAAATGTAATGTAACTTATTATTGTGATTTTAGACTGTTAGCCATGTTTAGTATAATGTACGGTAGATGTTTATCCTAAGAGATATTTGGTAGCCATAACTATAGACTGTAGTGGTATAGGCTCTATGCTAGAGTACAGATGACTATATACAGTAAGGGTAAAAATAGAACCGTAAATCATACATTATGATATGGTTAATTCATTGTACTTTGGCTGGTATAAATAATGTCTACATAAATACTGTAGCCGTATCCATATCGAATTAATGATGGTCCGCAGTAGATTAGTGTTACTAAGAATAATTTAACTATGTGTAAAATAAGGTAAAAGGTTACCGTGCAAATTGTAGCTGCGAACGCTACGAAAAGTATAAAAGCATGCAACTTTAGATTATTCTGTCAGTTCGTTGTAGAAGTCTTTAGTAGTGGTATTCGGCTAGAGTAGAGCTGTGTGTGGTTAATCTTTGTATAAGATTCAATAAAGCCCTTATTTTTCTAAAATTTGAAATTTCGTGATCGGTATATATCACAACAAATTTTTTCGCTATTCTACAATCTTATAACTATTATACGCCGCAATTATGAATAGTACATGCACTTATACGATCACTATTCAAACAATACGGAGAGTAAGAGCAGTTGGTTTTACTCAAACTTTAACTGAATATACGTGCAATTGGCTATATCTTATACCAGTTGGGAGTAGTGCGAACCTTCAATATAGTTGTTGGTATTAAGTCTAGATAGCGATACCGTCACAAATTGAGTCTCGCAACAAGAACAGAAAGGTTAAGCTTAGAGCTTATCCTGTCATCGCCAAAGCTTTTATTCCAAATTGATAACGTAATTACATTCCGACAAAAACATTTACACAAAGAGAAAACTAAACTCTAAATTATGATAGAAATTCATTATACATGCTAGCGAAGATTAGCCAAGCCATTTTGTCTAAAGCTACTTGCATTCTATGTTAAAATAATATTTATATCGATGCAGCGTAGATATAGTTGAATGATTACTTTTGTATACAGTATTCTGTTACAACCTTAAATATCCATTTGATTTTCATATATGTTTTATTGACATGAGTTAGAAAGCAGTTGGTTTACATATTGTGAAAATATTGCTGCATTTTATTATGATATTTTCCATTTATTTTAATTGTAATTCATGTTTAAAATCTATAAAAATTAGAGATTTACGAAAGAATTGGTTAGACGAAGTATCTCGAGAGTCATTTTATGGTCCATCTAAGTTAGTGGAAATGTAAGTAAAAGTAGCAATACTCAGCCAACTATCTTACTTTCAATCGGTGTATTTGCTTCAACTTCAGAGGTTAAACAAGCTGTCTGTTTTACTTTTCAATATCTTAACAGATTAACCAATCGTCCTTACTTTTGTTGCATCATACCTGCTAAAAGGCTAACCTGTGAACCATCGATGATATCTGATACTTTATCATCTTGTCAGCATCTTCTTGCTCATGTTTCATTACAATTCTTCATCTGGCTTGTTGGCATTCTGGCTTTTTGGGGTAACATTTTCGTTATTGTACGCAATCTCCGCATTATTCGGGCTGAAAAAAGAAATCATAAAGACGACAATGTCAACCTATTCTTAATCAATAATTTAGCCATATCAGATTTTATCATGTCAATCTATTTATTTATCATAGGATTTGCTAATTTAGTTTATAGCAATCAAGGTCTGTATGGCATACGATCTGAGAAGTGGCTACGACATCCCCTCTGTGCAGTATCTTGTACTCTTATGACTACATCTAGCATAGTGTCTGTATTTTTAATGGTAGTAATCAGCATCGATCGGTTCATCACAATCGTTTATGGGCTCGAAGGAAAAAAGTTAAGCCGTTTCTATTCTCGGCTGATTATTGGTATAATATGGCTAGGAGGATTTACATTTGCACTCATACCGTCATTATTTAGTATCAATCAGCCTGGTAACAAACGATTATACACCTTTAACAGTATGTGTATGCCAAGCAATTATGAGAACCCTGACTACAGAGTCTGGATGATAGCCTATATCGTTTCTACAATTATTGCTTGGATTATTACATGCTCACTTTATATTAGATTGTTTATCTACATTCGCGATACTGGTAAAGCTGTTACACAAGCAACTAATCGAAAAGCAAAAGCTAGAAAAGATAAAATGATTGCATTGCGTCTATTTATCATATTAATAACTGATTTAATTAGTTGGGTACCTTATTATATCGTGAATTTTGCTGGTTTCGCATCTAGTGATGGTGTTGACGTTATCACACTACAATTTATTGGTATATTTGCATTACCTATAAATTCTGCTCTTAATCCATACTTGTATACCTTTACAAGTACGGCCGTAATCAAAGGATTATTTATTCGTCCAGCGACTCGTGTAACCTACACAAATAGGACAAGACAACAAAAAGACGTAAGCAAATAAAGCTGGAGAAAAATATGGACGATCTGGATCCTCATCACGAAAAATCTAACGCCGATAAAGAATACACTAATACTTAGCTTGCATTTGTATTTTAATATCATATTACCGCGACTAGTACATAACCTATTGCACTATTTATAATTGTATAATGTAATGTCATGTATTCTAACTCAAGCACTAGACGCCTTGCAACGTTTTTTCTCTAAATTTCGCAATTTTAATATGCATATAATCATTAATCTGCGATGCTACTAGATTAAGCATGTATCATGATATCTATACTATGATGTATGGCAATGTTGTAGAGCATTAAGTTGTTAGTAAAATTTAGAATTGTAAAACTAATTCATTTTCGGATAAGGCTAAGCCATTTCTTTAGATACGGTACGTAATTTACAATGACCTCGACGATCAGATTATGGTCTCATCATAGTTAATCTTGTGTAATAGCCGTACTCTGACACGTTTAAATTACAATGTTAAATTATATTCTTGTAATTCTAAGATTAAAACTGCTCGCCATCAAGTTAGAATTTATGAAACCCGACTACTTTTTGTAATAAACGGAGCTTTTAGTTTTAATTCTAGAAAAATTTGTGTGGGTGTTTAACTACTGTTGAAAATAGTTGCTAGGCAGCCATGATAGACATAACATTATGTCAGCAGTTAAAATACTAAAAAACTAAAGGTTACTCTTACTTAATTTCAAAATAATTTTTACTAAAATTCTGTAACACAGTAATTATAGATATATCTATGATCTTATACGTATTTTAATCAATCAAGGTTTGCTTTCATAACAATATCTGGCTATAAAATTTGATTTTATCGTAGTCGTACATAAATTAGCTAATATTTCTATAAAGCAGCTTCCTTATTACGATCAAGGAGACACGTTTAGTTATTGCAATCTCGTGACGGCGAGTAGTTAGTTGTCCGTACTTTGCAAGCAAATGCTGAGGAGGGCAAGTCGGACGAGCGACTTATCGTAGTTTTAATTACTCGTAATAAACACCGTTTCATGACATGAATAACTATTACATATTTAGAGTTTTTAGTATGTGTTAAGCGTCTATTACACATGTGTACTATCACGCCTAATCACGCCTACATAATATAGTTATCACGCTTGTTGTTACACATTTGTACATGTTTTATGTTCGCCTAAAATGTATTTCCACGAATGTAAATCATGGATAAACATGTTTCGTTTGATACTATTTACGCGGATATTTGTTATTATGAGAACAATCAAGTTTTTGTATTCAGAGTTTTATAATTTTTCTGAATAGTCCTTTAAGAATTGTATAATTTTGCGTTAGTCCTTCTCTTACATTCTACCTTCACCCTGTACTCAAACGATCTTACCGTAATTACGATTACATATACTGATTTGAGCTTATAGATTTATATTAACTATAAGTCTGCCTTATTGTGACATTCATTAATTAATGCATCATCAATATTATAATTTTGTTGTGTGATGAAGCATATGTTGACACCTAGCTACTAATTAACTAATATTAAATGTCATAGAAAGTGTGTTGTGATTCTGGCTATAATAAGTATGTAGACTGGGTTATTAATTAATTACTGTTTTTGCACCAACGAAGTAATTGTAAGTTGTGCGTTCAATCGGACATTTTAATAAAATAGCTTCTAGAATAAAGTTTTGATCTTTAACGTGAGTAATCTATCGTCTAAGACTCGAATCTAAGTTTTGTTGATTAAAGAGTGCTTAGAGTTAGTTGCTTAGATAGTTAAGTCTACTTTAGAGGAAAGAATCCCGTTTAATTCTTGTGTTACAATCTCGGTTGTGACATTTATCTTGCTAAGTGACAGTTTTCCTAATAAAACTTACATCATTTTACACACTATACGAGATTTATTACTTGACTTAAGCAGTAGTACGAACCTCATACATAACAACTTTCGATCAAAATTGATTGAATTGGTCGTAGCAGCATTACCTAGTCTATCCAACATTAGCACGTTTTGGCTATGTAATTGATCAATTATTTAGCACCCTATAAATCTTCTAAATTCATCAAAATATTGTAAGTTGTGGTTTAACCACCTCTGATCTTATTTCTTATACCAGAAAAAGAATTAAAATCCGCGTATTGTTTTAAACTTTTTATTAATGGTTGTTGCTATTTGCTAACGAATTTTTTTGTAGTAAAATAGCAATAATTTTAAAGGCAGAAATATGATACTATTGCTGAAATTAACACTGTTGTAGATTTAACCACGACTCTATTCCCATGTTTAATATGGAATATAATACGATTAATCTGCAAGTAAACCAGACGTGTTGGCAAACTCGAAACTTTAATGTAACATATGTTTCGTTCTAATATGATTACATTTCATGACTTTCCGCAAAATATTTACGCTTAAAATTGAGGAGTTACATCGGAAGTTATTAATATCTCAGGCTTTATGACAGTAGTAATCATAGGTATTATATTGAAAAAAATAATTATTGTGTCTCGTTTAATTTCAGTACGTACGAGAGCACTCTCGCACTTTCGGTACGTAAGGGAAATTCTGAATTTGAATGCATAAATACAGAAGTGTAAAGTAACTTAGTATTGTGATTGTAGACTGTTAGCCATGTTTAGTATAATGTACGGTAGATATTTATCCTAAGAGATATTTGGTAGCTATAACTATAGACTGTAGTGGTAGAGACTCTATGCTAGAGTACAGATGACTATATAAAGTAAGGCGTTGAGTTACTAGTAAGGTTATAGGTAAAAATAGAACTGTAAATCATATATTAGGATATGGTTAATTCATTGTACTTTGGCTGGTGTGAATAATGTCTACATAAATACTGTAGTCGTATCCATATTGGATTAATGATGGTCCGCAGTAGAATAGTGTTACTAAGAATAATTTAACTATGTGTAAAATAAGGTAAAAGGTTGCCATGCGGATTGTAGCTGCGAATGCTACGGAAAGTATAAAAGCATACAACTTTAGATTATTCTGTTACTTCGTTGTAGAAGTCTTTAGTAGTAGTATTCGGCTAGAGTAGAGCTGTGTGTAGTTAATCTTTGTATAAGATTCAATAAAGCCCTTATTTTTCTAAAATTTGGAATTTTATGATTGGTATATATCACAAGAAGTTACTGAGATTTTGAGATCAAATTCGGCTTATAAGCTCATAAAAATGCTCAATTATCTCCTTTAAGCGCATATTTTTCCTTGCCACTAACAAGACAGAATCGTAAATAATCCTCTGTATACTTCATTCTTGCTGATATGAGTGAGCGATATTGATCAATTAGTTTTATTTATTTACTCTTGCTGATATCTCAATGAAGCTCTAGTAATAATCTGTAGTAAATTACTAATTCTAGTAATTTCTCCTTTTCCTATAAAGTCCATAAATTTCATCAGGTGAAACGTAAGAGTAAAATGTTTTCTGGATTTTAGCAAAGTTTAATTTGATTTTATAGTTATTGCAGTCAACCCGATTAACATATATGCGTGAATGGCCATAAGCCGTATCAATTTTACGAGTGCATTTAAAATTTGCAGCGGCATATAATTCGTTAATGCCCATTTGGTGAGTTAAAACGAATACAAGCTCAACTTGAATCAGAAGGAAACTTGTTGTATTAGTCTTTGAAAGTGTCCACTAAAGCTCCAAGTGAGTAATACGTTACAAGTTTACAAGGCGCATCTAGTTCTTATCACTTATTTAGTAATCCTTTATAGTTCGTCAAATAAATACAACATTTCAACAATTTCAAAAAATTTTTGACGTTTGATTCCCTTTGTACTTGCAGCACGGTTAAAAATTTAGCAATCAAATGACACTATGTTACCCTTATATTTAAATTTAAATTTATCACAAAGTACCAAAGTGATAATTGGTGTCACAAGAACTATAAATTGTTATGTTTATCTAATTCAGTATCATCAACTAATATTCCAATAGAACGTTGATTCTATACGTCGGCATATTCAGCAAGGGCTAATTAAATCTATTTAGCAAATATTTAATTTAACATCAGTTTTGAAAATGATTCACAGGCAAAACAAATTTCTAATAAGGCGGTTCATGTCGTTTAGCTGTAGTTTGAAGTGGCTATTTTACAGCCTGAATTATTACCTACTAATTTTAATGCAAAACTTTCTTATAATCTATTCTAAAATCCTTTAAAAGAAACAAATAGCGTGGTTTAATACATTGCGATTTGATCCGTCTTCTGCATGGCTGAATTAGTTATAAGCGACGAGATGAATAGCTCTTTAATTTAAGTCGACTTTAGATCATTTCATTTCCAATTTATGGTACAATCTTTAGTTTTCTACAATACAAACATTAGTTATTAACAGTTGATTTTTACGCCTAATTTAATTCAGCCGCTTAATCCGTAAATTGCAATTAATGCCTAATTTTATCATCTGGTTCTAACTGTTGTCAATTATATTGTCTTTGAAAGGCTGATTTGGACGGATTTAATCTATGTCTTCAATTATACCACAATTGTTTCGTAGGATTGAAAATGAATTTCTAAAATTGTAAGAAATGGACTGTCACATATTCCATAAGTAGCTGTTTTTTGTCTTCATTTTAAAAATTCAGTCAACAATTCATAGAAGGTCATTCCCAGTTTCTTATTCAATTTTATTTTACTACAATACAACCATAAGTCAATAAGAGTTGCTTTAA